ATTGCATTGGGGTACAACTGTTTATGAGTCAGAATCTGTAAACTTTAAAATTATACATAAAATTTTACTATGGAAGCATATTGTATTAGACTACCACGGTTTATTTTAGCCTTATGGTTTTACCTATCGGAAGCAGAGGCCATGGGTTCGAAGCCTCACCAAAGCTTTTCGGTGAAGGAAAAAATCGTGATGAAGCTTGCACGTCTCAGAGGGTTCACAACCCTCAAAAAACATGTACAGTCCCTAAACTGCATTAGACCCCATAAACCCTCGCTTGAGAGAGGCCAGTGCCCAGCAATGGGACGTATAAATGGGTTAATGATATATGTGATAATAGTATCATAAAAAAATATTGTAAGACGTCGATTCATATTCCTTTAAATTGACAAATTTAAAATTTAAGAATAATTTTTCAAATATTTCAACCCGAACGTCAGCTGACATTCAAGTTAGATGGTTAGGGGTCTGTACTTTATCAACCCATGTACGTCTCACTGAGTTATTTTCTAGAGAGTAGGCTGTACTTTATAGTTGGGGACACCACACATCGTTGAAGAGTGTTATAAACCTTCTTCTACATACAGGGTGCATTATGATGTTCTCCTTCATCATTAAAGTAAACATTAAGTAGTAAACTATATATATTATAGGACGTAAAACTATTTTTTCGGATCGAAATCGCGTATATCTGTTTTTTCAAACAAACCAACGTTCAGGCCCAGTCGGGTTTCGTTTGCAGTCTGTTACAGACTCAATTAAGTTCGACAAATCCCATGACCTTACAAAAGAAGTCCGTTAAAAAACTAAAACATCCTAACTTTAACAGGGAAGATTTATACCAGTTTAGGATCCAATCGACTCATCCGTAGAACAAAGATCTATGTGCAAGACTACTTGTTCTCAGGACATAGTACATTTCGTTCATTCTTCTTCGCTATGGATGTCAGATCGACTGTTGTTCGATTTCATAATTTCCGAAACGAAACAATATATACAAAATTCTCAAAACACCTTTACATAGGCCTTAGTTTGAATAATGAAATTATTCTCATTACATAATTACGTTATGTAGTTATTCTCTTTTCGCTATATAATCACATCAGACTTTGCTCTTCGGATGAGTCGCAATATTTCCTCTGACGAAAAATTCCAAGCAGATATAAGACTGCAGTACTAATTAATATGTTTTTATTGATTCTAACTGACATTAGTACTTGATAATAAAATTAATTTAACAATAAAATTATATTGCTAATCGAGTTCTTATTTTTCCGGATTTAAATCGCGTATATTTGACTGAGTCAACCGTGACCATGGGACCTGTAAAGGGCCCGAAACGTCGGTTTGTTTGAAAAAACAAATATACGCGATTTAAATCCGGAAAAATAGTTTCATTTCCTATTATATTGCTAAATTAAAATAATTTTAGGAAATGAAACTATTTTTCCGGATTTAAATCGCGTATATTTGTTTTTTCAATTTTATAAAATACATGTAGCGTAAATGGGATTTTTTTTTTTAAATTTAAAAATGAGGTGTATAATTTATAACTTTGTAACAATAGTGAAAAATAGGGTGGATTGCATTAATATTAGACATAACTGGTTGATGACTTTACCCTCTCAGTCAGCCGTGACCATGGGACTGGAAAGGGCCCGAAACGTTAGTTTGTTTGAAAAAAAAAATATATATACGAGTTAGATACGAAAAAATTGTTTCATTTCCCATGTATAACAATCGCGAAAACCTTAGAAGTCGATATATGTATATATATTATGTTGGTAACTTCTTATTTTTTATATAATAACCATTTGACGTTACAACCAGTTAGTAATATAAAAACCTACCTAATTAATAGGTTTGACTTTCGTGGGTCACTTGTTAGTGTTCTCAGCCTAATTTCCGTGGCAATTTTTATTGTTTAAATATTCGAGTAGTGAAATATTAAATAACATTTCAAGATACCTAAACTCGAATACTTGAATAATAAAAATTGCCACGTTCATTAGAAATTAGGCCATCAGAGGTTGGTCCTACCAGGAGATGCAATTAATGTTTTTAAGCCCTGCATTTTATTTGTGAACAATGTCAGCATATAGTAAATCAATGCAACAGTTTCATCTTGTTATAATAGATGGCTAATTTTTATTTAAGATTACGTGATATCATATAAACAAAATTATATTCACAAAGGAAACCAGTTTAATGTTCGAAGAAGGGTATTGTATAGTTATTATAGAATGTATATTGTGTTATACATAAACGAACTACATAACGTAATTATGATCAGTTGCTAAATACAACGGAATGTGTTTTTATAAACGCCATTTTGTATTGCATAAACATCTAATGAAATGAATAAAAACTATACATATAAAGAGGAAAAAAGAAAGAAACAACTTTCGGGTCAATCTTGGATGGTCAAAAAAATTACATGATGTCACATGTAATGTTGTGTTGTGATGTTCCACCTTTTTTTAGGTCTCTGTTCATTGGCGTGTACATTTAAGTATTATGATCAGTAGTTTGAACATTACAGTGCATTTATACTGTATCCTAAAAGTAGAGATGCTATCTGAAAATTATAATTAAATTTCTACAACAGCCATCGTCTATTCATAAACAAGCACAAAGCCACTAAGGCATATGTACTTTTACCTATTTTGTAGAAAAAATAAAATGTTCCTTACGTATAACATCAGAATAACTAGTAAAAACTATTAGTTACTGAATAAGGAATAAGGAAAGTAATAGGTATACATTTCTATAACTAAAAGCAATACACATGCATATATAGCGTATTATAGAATTATATAGATGAACAATCTATCTATTAGAAATGTACTTCTCTTTGTAAATCACATATTGATTATATTAAAATATTACTAGCTAGAAAATTATAGACGTATAGAGTCTTACACACACGTAGCAATCCGACTAGGTTAAAGTAAAAGTTATATCTATTCCAATGTTAATGTCAGACGCATATAATTAATATACTTCGGTTAATTATTATTAATTATGCACCAGCAATAAATTTCCTTCGTAATGTGTAGATTTTAAAATTTCTTGCCATATCTTATTCTGAACCTTTTTGGATAATATGATCATAGGTCGGGACATGGTATCGAATCAAAAGTATCGAAACTGTACTCATGAACAATATCGCATACAAATTTTCTCTACTTAAAGCCAGAATAAAACACATGAATATAAATAATAAAATAAGTCTTTAATTTGATTTATGATTTCTAATTGAAACAAATAATAAAAGACTTAGATAAAATTGATAAATTCAATCCATCGTCATTTCACATAATTTGTGTTACTTAAATCACTTAAAAATAAAATTCTATTTGGTAACAGACTGTTTCTCGTCTTTGATACTGTGTTGCATTTTTAGAACAAACGTTCTGAAGAAGGAACAAACTTCGCCGGAATTGCGAGGCACTCAAATATAATGTTTGTCAGGTATGATACCTAATTCAAATGTTTCTAATTATTTTTCTTCATTCCCATTCTTATAAAGAGGCAAATGGTGGCATACACTATACAGCCAAGTAATTTGTGATAAAGGTTCCCTTTTAAAAAGAAATCGCTAGGTGGCTTGCGTTATGATATGGTGTCCTAAGTAGGAATTATACGATACGATACTTGTGAAAAAGTACTAATACCTGAAAAGTATCGAGTACAAAAGTATTGGTATCGGAGGAAAAAGTATACTTTTTCCGCGTCCCCAATAATAGGTGGATAAATCGAAGTAATATCAGAGAAATGTAGTTGTAAGACTTTTAAATAGAACATTCTAGTTTCTAGTGAGCGAATGTTCGTAAGTTAAAGTTAGTTTTAAGTTAAAATTCCATGTTTGTCGCGCAATGAATTAAATCATTAGAAACGTGATTTTCAAAATTTAATTTTTAAAAGTTGAAATTATAGCTCAGAGCTATCTTTAATTGAGTAATTAAAGTCTGAAAACTGACTTCTTTCATATTATAGTAAAATCTAGATGAAGTGGTCGTGGTTATTGAGCCCGACTTCAATGTTCTTTTTGTTCTTTTCGAATAAAATATCAAAAGTTATTGAGTTTACCTATATAAAAACATAATTAAATATAGATACCGACATTACTGGAATACCGGATAACGCCTCTATGTGTTATTTCTGGACTACATAAAACAAAATAGTTATACCTAAAATGATGCATCGGGCTTTAGTAACTAACTCATAAACAGTGCACATTACTGGTAATATGTGACAATGTATGTTAATTAGTTATTTCTAAGGAACTATGGTAGGTAATAGAAGCTCCGCGATTTGAAATAATACATAATATATATTATTACGTAAAGGAAAATTATGTGAGAAGCTATTCATGTAATGCAGATTTGTACTATACGGCCATAGAAATGATAAAAATGAAACGAAACAAAGATCTAAATGTAGAATACGAAATTAACGTGGAAACTAAGTGCATATAAAATAATATAAATAGCGTACAAATAACTACGATAATGATGAGCTACAGAATGACTGAATTTTAATACAGAAGGTAATGAAAAGCAAAGCGCGGTGCAACTGTTACACCCTTTTGTAATTGGTGTAGCACGGTGCGCCCCGGCCGTGCCCGCTCGCCTTTCAAATTCTCATCCCATAATCAAAGATGTCACACGACATAACTACCACGTCCTACACATTATTTACTACAGATTGTATTGAAAAAAAACCTCTACAAGTACTATCTATGAAATTAATAGTACAACATTAATATATTCATAATGGTGTAGCATCAAATTAAAATAATGTTCTACATGTAATGACAAAACATGAGAAAAAGGGTGAGACAAATTTGCATTGTTAATCGTGAATTGACATAATCAATTTCCACGAATCGCATAGACAATCTATGGGAAAATGAATTGTCGACTAACCAAGTGCATGCGTAACATGGAATTTGATATGAGTCACTGTCTGACAGCCCCTTTCACGTGTTTTGGACGTACCTATGGTGCGGTGTGGCTATGTAGTGCGCGGACGACTGAAGTGCAGTAGGGTGCGCTAGGGCGCTTGGGCTCGGCGGCGGCGGCGGGCGGCGCACAACACTCACAATCAAATAGTCGTCTAACCTTGATGCGAATCGGCGCACTCCGGGTTCCATCCGACGACGGTCGTCGATTCAGACGGGCTGAAGGGCTCGCTTCAGGTGTAACAGCGAAAGTAGCACTGGTGGAAAGCAGAGTTTGCGGATTAGCGGCGCGGGCGTCGGGCCGGACGGCAGGCGCATCGGCGCGCCGCCACCGGCGGTGTAGTCGCGGTGCTGCGGCGCGGCGGCCGAGCTATGAACATGTCACTGTGCGGCGAGCGCGCTCCTCGCGCCGTGGTCACCGACTCGCAGTGCCGTCGCCGTCCTACTGTCTGCCCGACGGCTGGGACGGCGCGCGTTGCACCGCCCCGCTGCACTCCGCCTGCCCCCCTGCCGCTGTGCCCCCCACATTCGGCCCCCTCCTCACGTCGCGCTACACCCGCACCGCCCCGAAGAATTTTCCGCATCGGGCGGGAAAAATCGATTGTGCAGCGAGCCCCGAATAATTTTGGCAAGACGCACGGCGCCCTTGCGTCCTCTTGGACGGCGGCGGCGGCGGCGTCGACGGGCGGCGGCCGTACGGTCAAGCGCATCGCTGCCACTTCCGCGCCTTTCACTCGGCGCCGCCTATGGGCTGTCGTCAACCAACTACACATTCACAACTGTTGTTACTTTTCTAGTTTCTTTTTCAAACTATAATAAAGGAAAACTACAACAAATCAAAGTAATTACAATTCCACGAAGAATGAGAACTTAAGCATTTGACTTCTTTTATTCATTCATATTAGGGAAACCTATTTTTATACATTTAATTACATTAAGGGGCTTTAATTCTTGAAATTGAGATTTATTAAATATAAAACTAAACTAAATTATTAATATTAATGCCTATTACACGGTATTCAATATCTTTTTAAAATAGTTTACGTAGGATTGTCTGATTCCCGCCTTCAATTCAAATGTCCTATGCACCAACAAAGTGAAAGTGCCTCGCTAAGAGCATGAACAAATTGATAAAAATCGATTAAAATGTCTAAATATTACTTTGAAAGCGTAAAACACTGACTCTGGAAATCGTTCTAGCGTAAAGTTTTATAAAGTATCTTTTATATTTTTTATCTATTTTACTACTACACCACGACCAAATCAGCCTTTGAAAGTCTTCAGGAGAACATAGAACTATCTAAAAAAAATGAACTTACCATAGTCGCCACTCACCTCTGAGTTGACGATCGAAATACCGAGTAATTGCAATATCCATATTAATCCATATTAAATATGTACAAACATCTTCTGGACTTGGCCGATTTCTTTCACGGTGAAAACAACCCGACAGCCTTATTTATTAATAACACCCCATTATATTATTATGTTCACTATTTAATATAAAATAAGTGTGTTTAAATTAAAGGAACCAATTTGTTGTAAAACAAAATATCCAATAGAAAAGAGTTCTTAATTTTTGGAGCACTATTTGCAATAATGTCATGCATTGGTTCAAAATGTAGGTGTTTATCGTAAAAACTGATTCAATTATAAGTTTAGGCAAGCAAAATTTAAAATTCTGAGAATGTTACCTCAACACCTAACAGTCGCTCGGTGTTTTGTTTCCTACCAAGTATTTCAAAGTGAATGAGGTTATTTTATAACAACTGTAAACATTGATTTGTTATCTACTTTAATGCCCTTTTAAGCCTTCATTATCATTAGATATGAAGAGTATTCTGGATAGTGGAGTACGTGTACAACAAAATCGGTTCACATATCGTGTAAAATACATACAAAAAAATTCAGTGGAATTGAGAACTCCTTCTTTTTTTAAGTCGGTTAAAAACTGTATATACAGTTTGACTACAGGATCCAAACGAGTCTCAATAAACAAAAGGTTATAAACAGACACTTAGTATAGTTAAAAGTTTTTAAATAATTACTAACTGTAATATTAAGTATAATGAATATCGTGATTTCTCACAGATGGCGCTACGGCAAAAAGTTGTTAAAAGCAAAGATCAGCAACAAGCGCATAAAAAAACTTGTAAGGTCTGCTTCGAATTTTCTAGCAATTTAGTAGCAGTAGAGCTCCTTGTGAAAGAGTTCGTCCTACGTAATACTAGGTGGCAACCTTAACTATTTCTGATGCAGTAATGTCAGAATTACTGTGTTCCGGGTTTGAAGGGCAAGGGTGCTGGTGAAATTACATGCACATGGGACTTGTCAACTTATGTCTCAGTGAGACGGGCGCAGTGGTAGTGCCTCTCAGATCTTTGAAAGAAAGAATTTTAAGTTCTGAGTGGCACTGTAACTGTTATGGACAGGCGAGTAGCTTACCATTAGGCGCACGACTTGTTCGTCCCGTTGCTTGATGTTGTATAAAAAATCCAGCTGGATCGAAGGAATTTTTCTTAGTGATCGATCTTTACATTAATAACAAAACTTTATGAAATAATTATTTTATTATTTTTTTATATACTTTTTCTGGTTCTAAGTCTAATAACCTGTGCTAAGTTGTTCAATAGGTACGGAATACATTTCTTTAAGATCCTGTCTCCGTCGTAATTAGTGACTCGTAGAATTACAAATTTACCCAAGGTTGTCGTCCATGTGTTATAATTATTATCAACCGTTTACAACAAAGAGCCGCTCTCGTGTGTGCTATGATTACTGATCGAAGTTTCCGGATATTTAAAAAAAATAATCATATTTATTTACCTCGAAAATGATAATATTAAGTTGAAGTAACGGTGTTAGGATAAAGGAGTCACGTCCTTTCAATAACATCTTTTAAAAGTACGTGTGAATTTACCAGTGGGTGGCAAGCTGGTATTTGGAATCTGTGAACGGTGGATAAACGCCAGCCGACTCAGCATCGCAGCTTCGACGAATTGCAGTCGTGGGACACGTCGTCTCACTGCAAGTTTTGTTATTGTATTTAGATATGTCTACGAATATATATAATTCATGCATGCTCACACACTAACACAAATTAATCACACACACACGTGCATACTCTCCTGCCAATTAGAGGAATAATACCGTTATTTATTGTAATTTTGTTGATTTTATTGTAATAATCATTGTTGTTAGTAGCTTCACTTTGGCATTGTATTTTTTTAGAATTTGAATCTAACATGAAATGAATTGTTTAAACGACAAACGTTGTAAATGGCTAAGTAAGTTTGAGATTTAAGAATATAAACGGATTTAAAAAGCTGTAAGGTTGCACATAAATGAATAAATATGTAAAAAAATAAATGAACATGATATTTTGTGCCAGTAGAGCGCCTTGTGAAAGAGTTCGTCCAGAGAAGTACCTATTTCTGCCGCCAAGCGGTAATGTGTGCATTACTGCGTTCTTGTTCTGAATGTTAAGGGGTCTGGTGAAAGTACGGTAGGGGCACATGGGACTTGTCAACTTATGTCTCAGGGTGACGGGCGCAGTGACAGTGCCCCTCATATCTTTGCGATTTAAAGCTCTGAGTGGCACTGCAACTGATTATGGACAGGCGTGTCGTTTACGGCCTTGTTCGTCCCGTCAATTGTTAACATAAAAAAAAGAAACAACATGAAACAATCATAAAATATATTATTATATTTTAATGCGTATTCATTCATTCATTCACTCACTTTTGTTATAATAGAGGCATATTTGTTTTTAATGATGCAAGTGTACAATTCTTAGTATCCTTGGATTATCTTTATTTGAAACACTTTATTTCAAGACAAAAATTTAGTCTGTAATTAGACGATTTTGTCCATACAAAAGGCAGTGTAATAAGCATAAAAAACAATTTTAGTTTTAGTATTTACGGCACGTCTTCTGTTACAATTAAGATTTAAATTCGATTCTTTGCCACAAAGATAAGACGTTTCAAATTCTAAAATGTAATTTCCACGTCATAAATGATAAAAATGGGTTTAAATATTTTGAAAGTGCATTTTCAAAATAAAAAAAATTCGAGTATGGTTTTTACGTGCAATTACTCTTTGGACATTACTTAATGTAAATTTACTTGTAACTTATAAAGTGAAACATTAAACTCTCTTCCATATTAGAAACTAGTAGTATTATACTTTAATCGTACGATAAAACAAATCCATATGCAATATACTTATCTAGTTTATCTATCGACCTTTACAGAGATGTGATTTATATTAAAGGTACAGTGTGATAAAAAACTTAGCTTCAATAAAATAAAGATATCAAAAGACTTGTTTAGCAGTGGAATTAGGAACAGGAGTAGGGTAGCCGACACTCAACCGCCTCATGTATTTTTTGCCTGTCTATGTACTTAGTACACAACACGGCTTAAAAAGCGACTTGGCATGTTTTTTTTGCAGGCAGACGCTTTATGACCTCAGCTGACATTAAAATGTGTTGCGCTTCGCGGTATTTTGCGACCTACAAGATTTTTTCTACGATCTTTTGGAATGCAGATGTTTTTGGTCCTTGACAATGAGTGTCGTAGATTATGGAATATAACAACGAAAGTAATATTTGTCTCATTCCACACATGTAGTGTGAAAAACATAAACACCTCAACTGCAGTCAGTGTTAGAGCTTTCAGTTCGCCTCGTTGAAGCTTCCGGTGATGAGAACTGGCACCTACTTCAGTCCAAGGTCCAAGGGGCTGCTTTTCTGTGTTTTTTAGACATCATGTGACGGGACGAACAATTCGTGCACCTGGTGGTAACCAACACGCCTGTTCGTGACAGTTACAGTGCTACTCAGAGCTTTAAATCACAAAGATCTGAGGGGCAATGCCATTGCGCCCGTCACACTGAAACATAAGTTGACGAGTCCCATGTGCATGTAATTTCACTAGCACCCTTACGCTTCAAGACCGGAACGTAGTAATGCTCACATTACTGCTTGGTGGCAGAAATAGGTAAGGTGGCAGTACTTCCCTGGACGAACTCTTTCACAAGGAGCTCTACTGCCACTTTTTTTTTGAGTAAAGTGGATAATGCGAATCACTCTTATTTAATAAAGAACTAAGTTTAAGTGTATACAAAAATAAAGTTTAAGAATAAAAGGATTATAAAATAAAACCTCATCCAAAGAGGAAATATTGCCGGTCTCCGTGGGCACAATGACTCAGACCGCAGCACTCAAAGACAATATCTTTATTTAACTCATCTAGAACCATCATATCATCGTATCATGGTCTACCTATTATATGCCCCACTGCTAGGCACGGATATCCTTTAAGGGACAGGTTTAGGCCATAGTCTACCACACTGGACCAATGAGGATCTAGTACTTCCCACGTTTTCCAATGTTTTTGAATCTTCTTCGACGTGC